CAAATTCAGTTTAGCGACAAAGACCATTTTTGGTGATGAAAATTATTTATTCGTCTTGGGAATAAGCTACCAAGGGAATGGGTGGATTTTCTTTCCCATGAGTTTTCAAATCTAAGCAAGGATGCCTTTCCAAAACATATTTAACCAAATGTAAGTTACTGAACTGATTAAATGTGTCTTGAGGTAAAGTGAAATGGTCTGCAATATACAAAGTTAAACAGAACATATTATGTTACCTAGTTATCTAGTCTTGAACTCCACAATTCTTTGACTGAGCTTTATTCCTGTAGGAACCTGAAGTGATGGTGAGAGAAGAAGCTGAGCATTTCAAGCTGAGTAACTTAGAAACAGCAGAAGGACTATAAGTGACAGCAACACAGACTGGTCAGGAAAGCATGGCTGGATGTTACGGAGTGTATAACAGTGGTGTTTACCAAGTACTGCATTTTCTGTGGCTGATAAAATCTGTGAGTGCTTAACTGAATTTCAGTGTCTCACCTAGCAAAGTTAGATAAATCTCTTTATCCACTGGCTAAGGCTACACAGCTCCAGCACACAGACCACCAGTATGATGGTTTTCCCTCCCGGCACATTCAGAGCTGGCTGCAACCTTGCTCTGTGCTGCTGCTGCATGATTCTGCCCCCTTCACAAGAGACCTTACTTCTCTATTTCCAGTTGACCTGGAGCCATTCCCCTAACTTTCCTGTGCCCCATGAGTGCCCAGGGCAGCTTCCCTGCACCTTCTCTCCAGTTCATCAAATCCTGACAGGCTGTGCCACTGATGCAGTTTTTCACAACTGACACTGCAGCAATTTGTGGCAAGAGGAGAGAAAAAGATTTTTTTTTGTTTGTTTTGTTTTGTTTTGTTTTGTTGTTTGGGCTGGTTTTTTTCCTCCAAGCAAAGGGTCTGTCCATGCCATGTTCAAATTAAAGTATTTCTAAAGGTGAAAAACCTCCAGGTGTTTCCTGTGCTACCTAGTTCTTAATTTTGCTTTTCCAACAGTAATTGAAGCCTATTGAGGTGGGGGAGAGGGCAAAGAAAAAACATTCAATCCAAATTTTCTTGTGAGGGAGGTAATAGTTCAGGGCTAAGGAAGCTCAGCAGTCATTTAAGTGCACAGTTTCTTGTAAATCCTTTCTGAATAGCCTGAATGAATCCCCCAAATGAATGGCCATTTTGTCCCTTTTAGTTCTCCTTCTCTAGCACAGAACTCAATGTGCAGCTTGTGGACAGACGGATTCCACAATAAATAGAGAAGGAGAGTAAAACTAAACCTACTGGAGCTTGGCCAGCAGCAATGTCAAATCTCTTGACTGATTTCCCAGGGAATTCTTGCTCTAAATGTCAGGAGAACATAGCCCTGCAGCCAAACCTGGACCAGACTGATACCAAGGCGTGACAAAATGAATGACCTAAGTAACAAGATTACACCACAGGAAAATTAAAACTTCAGAAATGTGCAAAGATCACATTTCAGTAAGTGGTGTTTTATGTACGATCCTTTTAGTAGACAAAGCTTAACCCAAACTTATAAAACATAAATTGGTGAGGGGAGGGGGATTTCTTAGTGGCAACAGAATGAAACTTTTCATCACTCAGGAAAAAAAAAGCCTGAGAGCTTCTGCAAATGGTTTCTGAAAAGGCTCACAGCCCGCTCTTAAACACACTTGTCAACAGGAGCCAAGGAAGACCAAAGGAATTTGGTCTCCTAGGAGTCTGCACCACTTTGAAAACAGCAACTAAGTCCTCCATCACTAGGGCACTTCTACAAATCCTCTTGGAGTCTGTCCTGCCAGTGACAGCAAGTGTGCCTTTTGCTGTGGTTACCTGCAGCCACTCATGCCCACGGAACTGGCAGGAGACTAAACAGCTTTGGGATTTCTGATCCTCCATCAGCTATAGTTGAAATTGGCTGGTGGGTTCAAGATCTGCTGAAAAGGGCAGGAACACCCAGAACAAAGAGAGGGGAAGAGAGAAAAAGAGAAAGCACAGGCATGTAAACCTCTTTGCTTTTGGAAACCAAAAGCTTGAATTGATGCTGAGAGGAGCTGAGCAAGCTGAAGAGCTTCACAACATAAGGAAGGATAGAGTCCAGATCCACTAGGTATAGGTGGATAAGGACTAAGACACTGAGAGAACAGGCAGTGCTTCTAAATTGTGGGTTTTTGTTAGGTTTTGGTCTTTCTTTAAATCTGTTTCAGTCTCAGCTGACAAACCCCACAGTCTGATAGAGCTGCCCAGGATGGGTATCTATGAGATTTGCATAGCAGTGAAGGGACTCTTCCCACACTGATATTCAGTGAGATGATAGAGCCTAGTGCTGGGTGTTTTTCTGCCCCTCTCCCTCATATTGTTTTAGCTGGAATTAGCTGTTTGCACATTCCTCTCTGACTTTGGCAGTGTGCCCTCTCCTCCGTAACTGACCAAACTGAAATCCCAGATCCAACACGCTTCAACTGTCTGGGAAGTTCTTGTTCAGAATGGGGATGTCTTATGTGTTGCAGCATCTTCTCACCATGGCTTAAGTTCTTTACTTAATACAGAGATCTTTAATTCATGATGCCCTAGAAATTACTCTAGAAACTCAGACTTAATGTTCAGTGAAGGAGAAGCAGAAGCACAGCAAGATTCCTCTGCACATTTCCCCCACCCTGACATGGATTAAGTTTTAACACCATCTTTAAATTTTTCATAATACTCTTTTGTAAGTTATTTCCTTAACTATGTTGAGCACAGTAGCAGGAGTATTTCACTGTTGGATAGAAGTCCAAAACAAGTTAACCCAGATTTTATAAAGATGACAATATATAAGAAAAAAAAAAAAAAAAGGAAAATTATGAACAAACAAACAAAAAAAAGAACGTATGTAATCCCAACTCCCAACACTGACAAATTTACCCCTGGATAAACTGAGGCAGCTTTCCTCTGATTTTCAGTGCCATCTCAAGGGATGTCTTCCTTGCCTTCTGTGGTTTCAACAGAACATAGTTTGTTTGTTTGATCAGAGCTGGCACAGTGTGCTTTGCTCCAGGTTTGTGCCCGAAGCATTGCCTTTCTCTGTTTTATGTGGCCACAGCCTTTGTCTAATCCTGCAGAAGATCTTTCACAATAAGAATGGTAGCAGTGACAGAAGCTATTAATGTTCTGCCTTCTCCGTGTGGCAGTGATCTGCTCTGCAGATCAAAAAGAGCAGATATACACTATCTGCCGGAAAAGGAAAAGCAATTACTGGATTTGCTAAGTGAATTTTGTTTGTGAACAAACAGACATGCCAGAGGAGCAGAGTCCACAAGGCGCCAAAGAACAAGTGAGTTTTTTTCTGAAATCACTGTAGCAGGTTGTGAAGGGCTTAGATTGAAAACCCAAAGACAGCAAGTGAAAGAGCAGAGATGTGTAATGATGACTGCACACAACCACCCCCCCACCCATCCCTTGACTACACTCAAGACATACACAAATAAATGAAGTTTGAAAACAAAAAAGGCAAGCATCAAGCTTGCAGCTTCTCTTTTGCCATCAAATTGTGAGTGTCTCTTGGCATTCTTTATTACATGGCTTTAGAGGAGGAACAGGCAAATTGAGAGAAATACCTACATTTGTACATTATGATATCCTGTATTTGCCATAAACTGTGATTGGTAAGCAGTTAACATATGGATATGACTTTTTTATTGCTGTATTTACAAATTTGTCTAGGGCATCCTTAATTGATAGTGTTATACATTATACTCGCTTTTCACTGTTGTAAATTATTGTCTATAATCTCCTAGCAGAAGTTCAGGGAGGACTCTCTGTCTGTGGTTTCCTGGAGTAGTTCTTCAGATCTGGCACTGTTTACTCATAGTTAGAAGGGTTATCTGGTACAATGTGTCTTGTACAGGCTGGCTGGTCATGCCAAACTTTGATTTTTCACTGTTAATGCATGGATGCATGGCTTTACCTGTAGTTTAAACTCATTTTACAGTTGAACATGTTCCTTAGAATGTATTCAATATAACTTATGCACATACTCTTCTACAGCATGCAAAGTTCTAAATCAGATTTTCTATAGTTTGCTCCATTTTCAACCATGTCTTCTTCAAGTGACAGTTGAATTCTCTAATGAAATAGCTGTGCCTGGGGCCTTAGGCAACTTTGTGTTTTTTCTTATTACATGAAGGGCTGTTTTTCATTGAATTGTTTTCATGATGTAGAGGCACTGAGTAATGACCATGTGAATTTCCTCAACAGACAGCATCACAGTTTAATTTAAACACTATTTTCCAGTGGCCTCCATTTGGCATTTCATACTAGTCAAAACTTCATTCAATTTAGCCACTTCAACAAACAAAACACAATCTAAGAATTATATAAAGACATTAGAAAGCAATGAAAGGAGGGCTACAAGGAGGGTGAAGGACCTAGAGGGGAAGCCATATGCAGATTGGCTGGGGTCACTTGGCTTGTTCAGCCAGAAGAAGAGGAGACTGAGGGGGGACCTCATCACAGTCTAGAGGCAGTGAAAGGCAGATAGTGATTGCTTCCCTACTGTGACCAATGATAGGACCCGAGGGAACAGCATGAAGGTGTGTCAGGACATGTTCAGGTTGCACACTACAAAAAGATTCTTCACCAAGAGGGTGGTTTGGCAGTGGAACAGGCTCACCAGGGAAGTGGTCACAGCACCAGAGCTCAGGAGGTGTTTGGTCAATGCTCTCGGGCACATGGTGTGATTCTTGGGGCTGTCTTTTGCAGAGCCAGGAGTTGGACTCGATCCTAGTGGGTCCCTTCTTCCAACTCAGGATATTCTATGATTCCATGATTTTGTAACCAGTAGAGTTCTAGTGAGGTACTAATAGGCATTTTAGATAGATAAAACTCCCTGGCCGCTGAGCTACTAGGGCTATTTTCCCTTCAATACACTGCGTGGCAGACAAGAAACTGAGCAGCTTTTGAGTCCTCCCCATTGCCGGGCGGCCCGGCGCCGCAGGAGCACGGTGCTCTCTCTCTCTCCTCCTTGCCCGGCAGCCGCGACCCCCCTGCCTTGCCCTGCAGAGGCACATGACCGCAGCCGACCCGCGGCCGCTGCTGCGGCGCCCGTTCCTCGAGAGCCGCCCGCCCGCCCAACGCAGCAGGTAGGGAGCGGAGCGCGGCCGCCGCACGCTCGGGAGCCGCCCCCGCCCCCGCCCCCG